GGCTTGGAAACTGTACATCTGTAAATCTGATTTAGAACCACCTCTTAACTTTTTTATTAAGACAACAGAGAGGACAGTATAGAGCCAATTACCTAATGCTCCCTTCCTGACCTCAGCAGAGTCAATGGGAGCTTTCTAAATGACTTCACAGAGCCAAAATGTTGATCTCGGCTAAATCCAAATTTTGAAAAGAATAGGAAGAGCAGCACCCTCAGTTTCTCTTACATGACTGTGTGCACTAAAATGGGGGGGGGGGGAGGGAAGATTTTTTCTAAAAAAACTTATAAAACTAAAAAAAATTATGTCAGACCTCTTCTTCTAGGTACTTTATCATTCAGCAAAAGAAAGATACTGCAAGTACCAGAAAACAACGTAAAGCATTATGCACAGAAGAAGACCTGTCATTTTGGGGTGTTTTCATTTAATTTAAGTCATAATTGAACAATGATAAAAAAAGCCACTCATCATTCAAGGATTGTTGAGTCCCAAAACAAAGTGACACAGAGCACCTTTCTACCACACAATAATTTTATATTTTGCTGCAAAATTTTCACAGAACAACAGAGTCACAAAATGGCTGAGGTTGGAAGGGATATCTGAAGGTCACCTGGTCCAAGCCCCTGGTCACTTGGTCAAGCAGAAACACCTAGACCAGGTGGCCAGTTACCCAGGAACATGTCGAGATGGCTTTAACTATCTCTAGTATCTAGTAGGATTTTAATTAATTATTAGAGGGTCTTAAAAGCAGTGACTGAAGAATACTAAAGTAGCCTATTTTTTGTGTGAGGAAAATAGTTCATCAGTGGGTATGAACTTAAATACCACGGTTTCTAAACTGCAGTTGTTGGCATGACCTGACAGTTTCACAGCGGAAGACCTAGAGGGCCTATTTCACAGAATCACAGAATCACAGATTATACCTAAGCTAGAGTTTTACCAAAAGGTACACGTTAGTTCAGCACCATAACCCAGAAAACACATAATCCAGCTCTGCACTCCAAGCTCGTCAATCACTTCCCAATTTAGCCTTCACATTTTCTCCCCACTCACTCCAGTAAAGGAGAATTGTGAGTTATGGAGCTGTTTACAGCAACTGCATTTCAGGACCACAGGAAAGAAATATTCAAATCCGCATGCCCTTGATAAAATAACATTCAGTATGAATGCTTCCAAATACAAGTTTTAGCATAAATCATTGGTTTCACACAGTGTCAGTGCAACAGTAATTTTCCTCCCACAATTTCTATAATAGAACTATATTAAATAATTTTAAAAAGTGAGAATATTGAGTCCATTTCCTTCCCCAGCATCCAGAAACTTAAAACTAGCCTTATATTTTCCCAAGAATATTGTAAGCCATACTAACGAGAATATTTGGGCTTTGGTGATTATGGAGAATTAAGATACATAGAAATTTTGGGAGGGATTCTATTCTGATTTATTGAAGCTGGGCACTAAACAAAAATTGATGCAGAACTCAGAGAACCAGAAGACAATGACAGAAAACTATCTGGTAATTTAACTGCAGAGAAAGGCATCTGCGGACCATTTCTTGATCTTCAAACTTTATTTTACTACAACATTTTAAAGTGAAAAGGACATGACACATAAAACTGTATGTTAAAGATGTCTTCCCCTCAGCCAAATTTGTTTTTCTGAATATCCTTGATGGGATAGGTGCCAAGTTTCAAGAACTGCTGCTATTTGTTATGCTGTTTGGGCAATTGTTCTAAACCTTGACCTCAGAGTTTGCAATTGAAATTATTTAGAAAGCTTAGCTTTCAACATTTTGAGAACACTGAGTGATACAGCTACAGTTACAGTAAGTAGTAAGCAACGTCTAATGTCTTGCATCACCTTTAAAATAAAACAACATTCTCTTCTTGCCTGGGGATGGAGACAACTGTCATTCTCTTGTCCTATTAAACGGCAAGTGTTTCATTTGCCCAATTTGTTTATGTCTTAGTGACTTGTAGTAAATGGTGTCATTGAAACATATATGACCTGAGACCTTTGCCCAGGCATAAATGGAAGATAGACAATATGAATTGTTGTTTTCACACTGCTTCATGTGGGAAGGCTTCTAGGTTTGTAAAGCTGCATATATTTAATAAAATAGTTACTCGTACCAAGTTAACATGATGTAATTATTAAAAATCTAGTAAAATTAATGTCAGGTACCGTACTTGTAAACCATTGTATCAGTTATAAAGCTAGTAGTCAAACAGTAGCGGCTTGGTCAGATATAGTTTGAGCTATTTTTCAAACTCCTTGGGAGGGAACGCTTTCTCTTAATAAACACTCATTTCATTTTATAAGTATGCAATTGGAAAATTGCAAGCGAATGAAGCATCATGTAAGCAATTATGATTCTGATACAAATTGCAGTTTAATTATTAATTGTTGCAAATGTATCACACAAATTAATCAGTAATAAAGAAATGAACAATTTAGAATAATTTTAGAATTAAGAAATGTATATTTAGGAAAACACATGCTTAAACACATTACCACTGATGGGTAATTTTAAAACAATCTAGTAAAATTAAATATGCATTAGGATCAAATTTTATCAGTAATTAAGTTTACTTGACCATTCCTAAAACTTCCAGTCAAAGCTGCAATAATAATGTTTACAATAGTGACAATAACAATAATGACCTTTCAAATATTCGGCTTGTGTGTAGTCTGCTGACGAATAAATATAGATTTTTTTAGAAAGTATGATTTTGTTCCATTTCAAAGAAGATATATATATGTATAGCTGCACAGTGTCATTCAGCAAACTCTGAACAGAGTCATTGGACTCTCAAATAGTTTTCCATCTAACGTAACATTAAAACTACTGCCCTTAGCTCAACAATAAACCTCAGCTGCCTAAAATAGGAATTTCACCTCTATAGAGGTCTCTGAACTTTTATCATTTCCACCTTTGGTCTGCAATATTAAGTTCTGACACAGGAAGAGAACTGCAAGTTGTGAAATAACAAAAAATAAAGCTATTTTTTGAATCATTTCCAAGCTGGATTGAGGAACACTCTTGGAAAGCTCTTGAGAGAGCCTGTTCTCACAAGATTTGCAGCTCAACTTTCTGATGAAAGAGATTTGAATAAACACGAACACAAGCCACTAAAACCTTTTGTTCTGTGACTTCTCAGGTGGAGAAAAACAATTAAATAATGAATGTCTTGGCTCTGGAAAGTTAATTATTGGATGATTCATGGTGCTGAAAAACAGCACTGGAACTAGTCCAAACTGTATAGTTATAATACTTGAAATAAAAAAAATATCATTTTACTGAAGCCAAAACACAAGAACGCTAGCAATGTGTTCTGGTTTTAATACATCTTGGCAAACACTAGAGACATATGAATTCAGAAATGGCAGTTTAGCACTATGAAGTTCAAGCACCAACTACTTCAACTCAGAAGGATGTACTTCCTTACCTTTCATTACCTTGGGATGTATTTCCTAAGATAGTTTAGCTGCTGAACTGTAACAAGTTATTAATAAAGTGGATGGATCCATTTATGAAATATATAAAATGACAGATAAACTTTGAAAAACTGTATGAAATTTGTTAGCTTATTTTAAAGTGGAAGTTTATTTTGATGTATACAAAAACAAATCTGCCGCAAAAAGTATTATTTAACAGATCCCCTCACATTGATTTATTCTTCTATTTTTAATCTAACTGGATTAACACACTTGCAGTTCAGCCTGAAGAAGACAAAAGTTCAAGAAACTTGAAACTGTCCATTCTTTGTGAAGCTTTTACAGGTAGAGGTCCAACAGGCAGAGATTTACAAAACACGCCTCCCCCCAGCAATTACAGCACAAACAACAGTTACACATCAGCTTTGAGAGCAGACCAAAGGCAGCATGTTGAGTCTACTGTTTCTACTTGTAACCATAACACATGGTCTCCTTAATAGTTTTGTCCAGCATTTATAATCTTATTTTTTTAAAGAACTAGATATTCCAAAGTATCCTTTTAATTGTACAGAGACATTTTGCTTGATGTGTTATTTGAATTCATCTACAGTTTGCAGTAATTTATTTTTGTGTCAAGGTTGTCCTCGTATTTAATAACTTTTAGTTACTTTTAGTAATCAAATTTGCTTAGTAAAACATGTCCATTCACATCCATTTTCACTTTTAAATGGCACAAAAACCAGGTTCTTTTATTCTCCTCATAAAATGAGATTTCCATTCTGTCAGTTATCTTAGCTGCTCTTTCTTCAGTTGTTTCTGAATATAGGCAATTGCTTTTGCTTTTTCACACAGACTGCAGATTAGGTCTCAGAAGCTGTGATCATATTGCTTTAAAGCTTCCCTCCTTCTGCTTCAGATACTTGATCAGATATATGTTGGGATCACATTTGAATTTTTCATTGTTTCAGGCTATTGGTAATGCATAGTCATGCTGTGATTGACTTTAATGTACAGGACCCAATCTTTCTTAGCCGTTTACAATGAATTATTCTCTGTAGCATAATTGTTCTTATCTAATTTATAAATTTCTAATTTAGATGTCACATTATTACATCTCATCTCATTACCATCACACCAAACCATAAACTATTTTGTTCTTTTTGGATATCATGACATTTCTTTGTGATGGCATCTACCAAATTTGTCATCAGATTTCTTTAAATACATCTTTTATCTAATGCCAATATTGCTAATGGAAATATTAAGTTAGAACAGCCTCAGGACAAATCATTAAAAAATCTAATTATCTTTCTTGAATGTATGCTGCATTCTCCCATTGTCATTGTTTAAAAAACAAACATTGAGAATAAAGATCTTGTTTCACAATAAATAATTTTCTTAAAATAAGTTGAGCATTTGCTGTTTTTCTAGTAAGGTAATGTGTTTCTTTGACACAATTGAAATCCTTGCTCCCCTGGTAAATTCTGCAGATGGGAATACAAGAAATTTCATTTGTGCTTAAAGTAAGACCTTTGGAGTTGTGAAGAGATTAAAAACTTACTCACAGAGGATGTGAAATTTCCATCCCTAATGAAACAGAACACGAGCAACCTGATCAACATTGGCCCTCCCCTGAGCGTGGAATTGCACAGGTTATTTCCAATTGCCTTCCATTTCGAAGAGTTCTGTGAATCTGTACAAACAAGAAGTGTTGAAAACTACTACATTCATCTAGGTTACCCAGAAAATAAGGCACCTTATTACCAATATTTTAAAAAGCCACTATTAATACTAAATTTACACTGTTATTGCTCTTCTTTCCCATTTAATTAAGCACTAGTACTGCAAAATAAATGTGCCAATTGGTTTTCATCAGTTAGATCTTCAGTGACAGCACTTTGCCCGCACTTACTCCATATAAATTCAAACAGTACAGAAATAGACTTATTGATAGACAGATAGATAGACAGATAGATACAATGACAGATAACTAATTCTCTTAGTCACAGCAGTTTGTTTTCCCTAAATATAGTAGCTTCACATACTGTAAAGTAGATTTCTCATTATGGAAATGTAAAAGAATAGCAAAACATGGCTTACACATGTGTTTGTGCATACTTATATAAAAAGTATGTCTACATATGTCCATGTATACATTCACACACACATATATAAAAATATGTACAGATATGTATGCATATGCACAAATATATATATTTTTAAATATAAAAAGTGCCACCCTGATGTATAAAACAACATACAAGATCAGGAAAATGTTTTCTACAAATGAGAAAACAAAGGTTAGAGTACACTGTCTTTCTTCCTTTAGCATATATTATGTACAAACGTATCTGCTAATAAATACACATGTAGCTTCAATTTAGAATGCCACTGAAGATTTGACAAACAAGTAAAATCATAGGCTGGAGATAGAATAAATTTTTCTGAGCAAAATTATACAAAAAGAAATAATTTCAATTTTAGTACTTATTTTACTTCACCTTTACATTGTTTAATATTTTTTTCTATACTCTGACATATGAACCTCTGTTTAGTTATGCAGCATGAATCAGACACAGAAAATCCAGTAACTCATATGAAATTTTGAATTCAAATACCCCAAGGTCCAAAACAATTTCAACAATATCACCATACCTTCATTTTTCCGTTCTATTACTAAAGACATAGTATGCATGTCCACTTCTCTAACACCATTAGAATGAGGCTGTAGAAAATCTTGCTTACATTTTACTGTGTGAACAAATCCACCTTTCTACCCAATGGACTTTTACAACTCCAAGACGGTGGGACATGTTTCACCTCTCTGTCTTCTATCTCAAACAGAGCCCATCATTGTGTTATTTTCACACTTTTTTGTATAGGTGAAAAATATGAGATTTGTAGTTTGCACTGGTATACTAGATCTGTTCCTCAAATAGACAATGATCTGCTGTGGATGTGAATTAAAATCCGTCAGAAGCCAATGTTAATGTGGAACTGCGGTATGGGGAGCTGGATAAAAGCTGCTGTTTTCTGTAAAATCCCATACAATCTTGAGATCACTGATCCCTTCAATTCTAATCCAGAGATGAGGTCCCCAGACTGAGATAATGATTGGGCAGAGTTTCAAGTAGGCTTTCTATACCACACAGACACAGGTGAGAACCCTGTTACTCCTTCTGCGCTATACCAAATATTAATTGCTGTGCATCCTTGCTCTTGATTATTTGGAACAAGCATTTATTTATTTTATCAAAATAAATGTTTCCTCCCCTATAAAACAGAATTTGTGTTAGTCTCCTCCACTGCCAAGTGCATAGGCAGCTTCTGCAGTACTGTATGGATCACTGAAAAAGAATGTGCACTGTAAAATGATTCTTTTTTTTTACTCCTCTTCACCTTCTTAATTCTGTCATCCACTTGTGCATATGTACAGATTTTGAAATCTGGAAATCCCACATCTGTCTCAAACTGAGGTTGCTTAGACAGAATTTGGGGGGGATCTTCTGTCTGTCACTGAGCCAGTAGGTTTCTCAACTGCTTTTATATCCAGCTCAGCATGAATCCTCTTCTGTAGCATATTTTCATAGGTATTTCATCAGTTTTTTTGGAAGGCAAAAACAAAGAATTTGGAATCAAGATACAGTTGTTTTCTTTTAAATAGAGTTTAGATTCAGTCTGGATTTATATCCAAAGTTTTGATTTGAATATAAATTGACAATCATTATCTATGTTCTTTATTTATATTAGTAAATTTACTATATCCTTTCAACTAAATTCTTACATTTGAGAGAAAAAGGAAACTCAGGTTTTGCTAATTGAACTTTTTGAGTAAAATTTCCTGTAATTATGCTGACAGAAAAGAAACTGAAAATCTGGAACAGAGACTTCAGGGTACAATTCTGCTCCCCTGAATAGTCCAGAAGGTTGTGAAGATAAAAGGCCACGAATGGAACTCCTAATTAATTGCTTCTGAGGTTTAGGAAGCCCCAGGAAAAAAAAAATATTTTATATTAATGATTTCAAACTCTACTATGAGAAACAGCCCAGTTTGGATTCATTATACCAAGTAGTTCTAGGATACTGTTCATCATGCATCATGTTTTTCAAGAGACGATTTTACAGCTACAGTCTCTACTTTTTGTTCTGAGGGAATCCCTGAAGTCTAAATTGCACCTTTGAGATACCATTCCGCCAGCAAGGGTTCCTGATCAGATCTCAATAATAGAGATACTGCAAAATATCATTTTGCAAAATTTATCATGATGCTATTGTTCCAGCTGAAAATGAACGAAGGAATCATAACTGAGGAAATACAACTAATGAAGTATTTCAGGCTCTTGTAATGTGAGATCTCCTCAAGTCTGGATTCAAATCAGGACTTGAATGTGAATTTCATGGGAACTATTGATGCGAGGGAGCCTACCTGCTATTATTTAGAAATCTGAAAGACAATAATTGTCTTCAGAGAAGTTAAAGTAAAAGAAGTTGCTGGAAATTCAACAGTATAAATGGAGTAATGGAAATTTAGTAATTTTAAATGACAGCTGACTTATTACTTGGCAATTCTAAACCAAAACTACATTTTGAAAAAAAAGAAAAATTATCATTCCTGATTTTGATTTTCATCTACTTTCCATTGCTAGCCAGAAGTTAGAGTATTGTTATTTCTAAGTCTTGGAAACTGCATGACAAGTCTTCTCTTGGGAAATTTCTAAGAGGCTTTTGCAGACACAAAAGGCCTGTAGAGTTCTTATAAAGCACTAAAAGCTATCTTTGTGATTCTTTTTCTGAAATCAGATTGGAAAGGACTACACTAAATACAATAAAACATTATTTTTTCTTCTTGTAAGGAAGAAAATTGCAATAAAAAATAAATCTTTTGCATTTCAGTGTTTTGTTGACTTTCTTGCAGTCTCCTATTTATTAAAACTGAGGAAGGTTTGAAGCCTTGGAGTTTGTAATAACACTTACAGAGAGGTTTGTCACTGTTCCTCTACACCATGTTAAAACAACATTCTTATTATGCACTCCAGCTCATTAGAAATGGAGAAGAACCTGCAAAAAATAAGAATCCATTTACTAACTGCTCTTCCTTTTCCATTTCTGAAACAAACCAGTGAAATATTATAAAAGTCTGTCTGTATAATTTTGCCTATTTTGACCTCTGAAAAATCCTCAAGACAAGTAGTGGCAAAACAGACTGAAGAAAGAGATGCCTGAGGTACTTTTTGCTCAGCTGCAAGCAATAGAGTGCTAAAACCTTTAGCTATCTGGGACATGAGGACAAGGTCAAGGACAGTAACATTCATCCCATATATCTTTGCAGGTATATGATGTTTTTCTGCATCTGATCTAGTTACCCTTTCCATGTAGTCAATAGAACTAAACAGGTAGGAGGCAAGTCATCTGGCTTAAATTAGCTTTTTATTTATGAGGTGATTAATTGTTTCCTATTTTTCTTCAAAGATTATGAACAGATATAAAGTCACTAATTCAGGTGTAGATTAGGGAAGAACAGCTGTTAAGATAAATTTCATTCAGGTTATCTTTGTGTTTTCTTCAGACACTATTGCATGTTAAACTCTGTGATGCTGCAACAAGACTGAGCCCACTAACTTAATGACATTTTTGAATTCTCTATATGTGGCTCAGCAAGTGTGTATAAACAATTTTCAGCCAAGTTCTACATTCAAAGCAGCTTCATTTTGAATATTCTGTTATAAATGGGGAAAATAGAGATATGTTTTCAATGACATTAGGGAGGTGAGGATGTCACACATAGCTCTCCTGGGTGAAATTTCAAACTATTCTCACTGATCAATAACTTGCCAATTTAATACCAGTAACTAACTAAATAAAGAAAAGTTGCACTAGACTGTAAGCAAGTATCAGAATTAATCATTCTAGTTTTTAGGTGGGGTTAATTCTAAACTGACCGCTTTTTACATTTCCATCTTCTTTCAGTAATCTCCACAACTTCAGATGTTTCATGCAATCACTTGCTTGTTTTTTGTTCTTTAATTTGTAGGGTTTTTCTTGTTGTTTCGGGGTGGGGGTTTTTTTTTTTGTGTTTTTTTTTTTTTGTTTGTTTGTTTGTTTGTCAACTGAGAAGCCAATCCTCTCCTTTCCTTACAATTCAATCCAAAATAGCATTACCTTTGTGTGTTTAAATGGGAGAGCGAGGAAAAAGTTTGGGTTAAAATAAATATTTCACTTGGATCTCCATTACATGTGTGAGAGTGACTCAGATTAATTTTTTTTTCTTTGAGTGCTGAGCTACATTTACTACCTTCCAGGAAAGTGCCACAACTGTTGAATCATAAGCATTCTGTCATTCAGTGTTATTAATGTCTTCTCCTGACACATTTTATCTTGTACAAATTTGAAATATTTAGAAAGACAAGCCATTCTAAGGGAGTGTAGAAATGTTTAAGCCAACAAACAATTCTCCTTGGCTTTGCATTTTATTCAAACTAAAACAGCTGGAACATAAGAGGCAGAAGAAGAACCAGTTTGAGAAAGCCAACATAATAAAGAATAAGAGATTTTCTCTGAAAGTCTGAGAACCGTTGTTCAAATTTCTGTAGGATTGGAAGTACCTGGGAGTTGTTGGTGAATGGCTGAATGTATCCAGGCTATAACAGAGAAAGCATGCAAAACAGTGACTCCATCACTCTACTTTGAAACCTG